GTAGAAAAGTTAAAAATGCACATATTATATAATTTTGGAAATTATATGACCAATTAATAAAGCTCCCGCCATGTTTTTCTTGTTTTTCTTTTCCTTTAAAGATTATTATTTTTTTATTCAACGAAAAGATCTGCAAGAATTTAGCCAATTAGAATTTCTTTTCATAACGTCGATCATTACATGGTATTATTCCTGGTTGAATTTAGCCAATCAGAATTTCTTCTATATAGAATTTTTCAATCTATGGAAATATCCCTGACTGCAGTTGAACTCAACCAATAAAAAAAATATATATAATTATCTGGCAAGAAATTAACAAATTTGAATCTTTGAATGTTTACATTTATACATGTATAATTGAATTATTGAGTAGCAGCCCAATATTTTTCATGGTAATATTGCATGCGCCATACTAAATTTGTACACGAATCATTAAATAAAAATGTTTTTTCTTTATAATTATTTTCCTTAAATTTAATTAATTAATTACAATTTGGCGTTTAGACTTTGCACACCATACAATCCAACATTAGATTAATTGTATTTAAATTTTACTAAAAAAAAAATAGATCTATAGTCTTGTGCTGTAATTGTTATGTGACTATTATTAAATTATATTATTATTTGATATTAATAAATAAAAAATTTGTTGAAAAGTATAAATTATTTCAAATCTTAAAAAAATGTTTCTCTTCTAATTGTTATTATGGTCCTTGTGATATTTTATGAAGGATAATATTTTATTAATAAATACAATACTAGTCCATTTTGTTAACTCTATTAATGGAACATGGGATGGGATTTTAAGGATTTGAGTATGGACAGCAAGTATATCAATGGTTGCCAAATAAGCATTAACTGAAGTAAAAGCATAATCAATCCAAATTTTTTTTCATTTGGTAACACAATTTATCAATTATTCTTTGTAATCCTTGAAATCAGTTATATCATAATTTTTCCTATATAACAACAATCTGATCTAAAATTTTCAAACTGACTGATTTATCCAATTAATAGTAGAACAAATAGTGGTAGCTTTTCTTTTGGTCTTATTGGCTAAAAACTGATTTCATCACCTGTAGGTAAAATAATAATTAAATAAACAAATCAACATATATATAAAATATGAAATATGCATTGGTTTTGCCCATCTTTATGGTTTTCAAACATTGGTTTAATAATACATTGTAAAATTATTTATTTATTTTACCAACAATTTCAATTATTTCTTGATTGTAATTGCTTAAATGGACAAGGTAAATTAATATTCACAAATTTTGTTATAGTATTAATAAATGGGCTAATTACACAATCAAATCATAATTTGGTTGAACAAAAAAATGAGTTTTATATTATGAGTGGATTGTTCAACAGTATTCTTAAGCCTTTTTGCAGGTGTTTGGCAGTAACATGATTGTTAATGTTAAACACAAACACATCAAATCATTTCTTAATCTAAATGTAAAATCAGATACCAATCCTAAAGTAGATATTTGAGCTTCAAAATGCAAGTGTCTAAAATCAGGTTCTCTAAAGGTTGTGATGTAGAAGATAAAACATTATTATTAGATATGTAATTAATAAAATAGTCATTCTCATTTATTGTTTTGTTGAAAGCAATTGTGGATTAAAGCTCCAAACAGTCTGGGTCCTAATTCAGTTTGGGTTGTTGGCTTGGACTGAACCAAAAATCTGAACCCGTCCCAAAACTTTGGACTGTACCAATTATCATTGGGAATTTTTTTCTACACTATTTACAAAAATTATGCAATTATTACATTCAGTGTAAATATTACACAATTTTTTATGCAAATATTACAACTTTACATATTAAAAAGTTATGGACATAATATTATGGTAGGGCAAATTTCCTGATGATACTTGAGGTCAAAATTATTTGAACTGCAATTAACATTTGCATTACACCACCAAAGCCTTTTTGGCTATGAAGCATTAAAAATTAAAAAAATCAATAGGTTTTCATATAATAAATAAATAGTTTTTATATGTGTGGTTAAAGTTTGAATTAATTCATACACACACTCTCAAAAATTTGGCCTCATTTGTTAAACTGGGTAGTGTAAAATAGTAATTTTACATATCACATTAAATCAATAAATAAGTTGGAAATGATTTATGAAAGTTGCATGCAAATAAAATTGGAAAAACTGATCAAGTATTCAAACCAGCATGGAAACTCGTTGTGTAACTGTTGCTCAGGGCTGGCAGTGCAAAGCTAATTCAGTAATAATTATCTTACTAAACATATGACTAAATAGTTTAGCCAAGTGCTCATTTGAGTTACGCGGCCAGCCCTGCTGTTGCTATCATATTGATCTATATATAAAAACTGTGCCGCATAAATCGGAAATTAAAATATAAAGAGAAGAACTAATACTAATATTCTTAAGCAGTAGAAGTAAGAGAAATAGAAGTGTTGTCATCATATCATATTCATTGTATTAACTTATTTTAATATTTTATAATAAATAAAATAATATCCTCTCCTTTAATATCCTATGCAAAATCCACTATTAAATGCTAAATTTAACATCACAAATCTGACTTAAGTGTAATACGGGCAGAATTTAAGTCAAGCTTGGGTGACGAAATAGGATTTCTACACTTTAAGGGATTTGATGAAAGTGACAAAATGACGAAAATGACGAAAGCGAGGAAAGTGAGGAAAGTGAGGAACCAATTATTTTGTAGATTTTAAAATAAAATTCATGATGTCAAATTCTAATTCACCCAATTCATCAATTCCTTCTCAATTATCATCATATAATATGAATTTTCAAACATTAAAATTAGATAGATACATTTGAAAGTTGATCAAGAATTAGCTACAGGATGCATGGTTACATTTCATTAAAAATGGTAAATGAAGAAGAATTTCAACAATCAGAAAAAAATAAACAATCATCAGATGATTCTACAGATTTTGAAGAAAGAAACCAGCAATAAATGTGAAGCAGCAGCAATTCCTACTAAAATTTGCGTACAAAAATTAAGCATTGAACTAAGAAACATGATTTACAATGTAAAAAAACGTTTAATTAAATTTTTGTTTTAATTAAATCTAAATAGAATTGAATTTTATACTTTTGTCATCTTTACCATACATTTTGACTTCTGACTTTACCCTTTGTCACATTTCGTCACTTTTACTTTTGTCACATTTTGTCACACGTGCCCTATTTGACGAAATACTTTTTTACACCAAAATATTTTCGTCATCAAACTTGATTTAAGTTATCTAATGATATTTACAAAGAAAAATAATTACCACCAGAAAATGTTATACCACCAGATAGATTAGGAAAAAAAAAAATCAATCAATATTAAATGAGTATGTATACGAAATTATTCAAAAACCCACTGTATTTGCGAAAAATTTTTGGCTTGTTAGCTTCTAATTAGTAGGAAAAAAAATTACACATTTCATGTACTGGTTTTTCAACATTGAGTCAATATCATTGTTATATGTAACTTCTCGTGTGGATCATTTTTGGATTAGAAACTATACCCACTTTGCTTATCATTTTCACAACATGGCCCGTTTCTGTTGAAAAGTTCCCTCCCCCTATATTGATATTAGTTCTTTGAAACAATGAAAAATTCTATAATTTTTTGGCTACCCCAATAAGTGAGCGCAAAGAAGGAAAAATATTTATAAATAAGTTATTGTTATCTATGAATTTAGTAAATCATTACATCTTAAAACGCACTTATTTTTTTAAGAATAAATCAAGCAAAGTTGGCAAATTGTCTGGCACATTGAGAACAGATGGATTTTAGACCGGTCCATTGCCATTATTAAAATACTAAATATGGTTAAAGTATTACACTAATGGACCCAATGGACCATCAATGAACTGCACATTTTCCAACCCTGAAATCAAGTATATTGCATTTCTATTGCCGTAAAAGAATATTGTTTGCATTCATTTGTATAAAATGAGTAGAAATCAAGTATCAACTTTTGTAGAAACATAAAAACTTTGTAGTAACAAGGCTACTACAAAACTTGATCACAGCATCAGAAAACAGTCTTTAAGAAGGAATAGTCGAAGAAGAAATTCTTATTATAGTTGTAGTGGTGGAATTTGTAGATAAAGATGTGGATAATTAATGATTTAATACGGACGGTAATTAGAATTATGGCTTTAATAAAAATTATTTCCTTTTAATTGGTAATTATGCCCCGAATTTTTCCATTCACTAACTAATTACTTTAAATTGTGTATTTTATACCAAGCATTGTTTTTATATTCTTTTTAAACGAATACAATTTATGGACATGCGAGTTAAAACCTTATGTCCTTTCAATAATTTAAAAAGGTAAGTAACACAAAAATGATGCCGACAATCACTGCACATTTCTAGGAAAAAGATCTATATTAATTCGTGATACGTGAAACAACTGCAATAATTTCATAATAGAATTTGGTGCATATTCCAAAAATTCCGGTAGGGAGAGGATTCAGTATGGTATAGCTCATATTTTTCCATACCAAGTCACACAAAATTTTATTCTAAATCTTTTTTTGGTGGGTGTGAATGGAAGTATATGTAAACGTTCAAATAATTATCACAATTATTTACAAACGTTTAGATATTTATTTAACACTGTTAATGAACTGATAAT